AATCCAAAGGAAGTATTCTTTACTAGATTTATGAAAAAGTTGACTATTTCATTAATCAAGAAATTCACAGTCAAATGTTATGCAACCTTAAAACTGTAACATTAAAGTGTTTATATTGGAGTTTCGCAAAATTCGTGATAATTATTTTAATGGTATACTTATATTCTATAGGTATTCAGGATGACAAAACGGAAAAACATCTTTATAACCATCGAAAAGAATGAATCTGATTCATTCTTCATTGTAAAGGAGTTTTAGATTTTTTTTTTGACATATGAGAGAATATACCATTTAAAGAACTATTTAGGAATTTGGGGAGGTTCTAATATTAACATTTGAATATCGAGACACCTTACAAATGTATATTTGTAACTATTATAGAATTTTATCTGCAACCTTTACAAAAATGTCCTGTCACCTTCACAGATATTGTTCTGTTATTTTTATTGTATCAAGTGATTTTCCTTATAGTTACTTATCCGCAATACTTACGGATGTTTATCCGTATAACTTATGGATGTTTATCCGTAACACTTATGAATATTTTCCTGTAATCACTCCAGATAGTTAACTGTAATGTGTAAGGAATTGAGTAACAGAAACTTGACTGCACCACTCACAGAAATAATCTGCTGTCCCTATTGCAACGGATAAAATCGATACAATTTACAGATTTTTCTGTAAGTTTAACAGATTCGTTTTCTCCGTGTTTTAGCATAGAAGCGCATAAGATATTTTTTTACACTTATCCCGTTCGAATGCGCGTTTCTCGATTACTAGAGTGTTCTAAATTGTTGTACAATTATCCCGACACTTTCGTTTCTCATATCAGAGTCTTTAATAATTACATATCGATCGAAATATGAGAGCTCGATTTTGATTCTGGTCTAGGCTAAGTAAACAATTTTTTTTTGAAAATCCAAATTTTGAAAGGATCAGGATAATTCTTGAGTGCTCTCAAGTCATGTGCCAAAGTTTCAGATTGTTCGGTCCAATACGCTTAAAAAAAAGTGTTTTATTTTAATCGACTAATTTGAGGGGAGTTTCATTTCACCTTAAGATTTTTCGTGGAATTACACAACTTTCGAAATGTCGTGACACATGTATATGTTCTTCGTCAAACTTTAGTCATCCGAAAAAGAACCTATCCATTAAGCTCCTAGTCACAACGCGTGAGAATTGGTCGTTTGGGTTCCTCCGAAATGTTGAAACATTCAATAGAGAATCCATTCTCATCCCTTTCTACTCGATTGGCGAGGAAATTACACGTATACTTAGAGGGGCGACTCGTCCGTTGACGGGCTCTTTGTTAGAATTATATTATAATTTTGCTACTCTTGCAGCTGAAATGGCAGCCGTGCGTGTACTACTACATATGTGTTCTTAATATTACACACAATACACCGCCACACAAGTGGATGTTCATCGAGGGTGACGAACGCACGTTAGCGCTCTGATGAGGCCTCTCACCTGCCCGTTACCAACCAGTTGTGGATGGTAAATACTCCTTTTTCCCAACCTGTTAATTGCTATTTATAACTTAACGAAAAGTAATTGCGGCTACCGAGCGCGCCTATGGGGCACACTATACGCGTTAGTAAAACGGATTATTATGCAAAACGTGCGTCCCCGACCGCGCGAGCGGTGTATCTGGATCATTGTAATTAAAGGTATGAGAAGAAACCTGGCTCACGTTTCGTTCCTCGTTACCCTGTACTAAGAGCAAATTAGCTTACAATTTTAACGCAGAACTTGGAGAAATTAACATCTTACTCGCGAATGCATTGATTTTCACAGTTATTCTAATTTCTGATGAAATTTAGGGGATATGAATATTCAGAATTATTCGTAAATCCTTTACTGGATCAAGGACTTCGCCAAAGGATCCGTAATACACGCCAACAGCCAAGCTTATGGGTTTTGCTGTTCGTTGACCGAACGCGAGAGGACGGGAATCCCAAGATGTCCTGCTGAGGATAATCCTGGATGGGCCAGGAGGACATTTGCGGGATATTTCTTGCTATTTTCTGTCAGGTATTACGGCTTCCCAACCTACCACGCGGAAACACTCGGCGTAGAATTTTCCCGTAATATTTGCGAAGGTTATTTCTACCGGGGAAGTATCGGCACGATGTCGAAGGGCAGACAGTTGCGGCGTTCGCTGAGAAAATTAAGACTTAATCCTTGGGCATAATATTTGCAGGTCCTTAGCGATGCCTCTTTCTCAGAAAATTTTACACAAAGGATGTACCTAAGGTACAGAAGTAAGGTGAGTACAGGATTTTCATTAGGATATGCAGCTCAACTTGGGCTCGCGATTCGAGGTGGAGGCTCGACTCCCTTTCGTCCCTATGCACGCAAACGAGTTTCGGAAAGGCGGTATAAGCTCGCTTGAGCTGTAAATACTTTTTTAGCTTGTATCGCATTTACAACCGACAGGTCCTCGGATCCACGGAGCATGATTGTATCCTCACCGAAGATGCCAAATCCGTTTAAATCCTTTAATTCATCACGCTTGCCCGCGCACAAGAGGCGTGGGCAATTCCTTAGCGTTCCTCGAGCGTCGATGCTCAGCCCGGCCCACGTATTCCGCGTTCGAACATTTAAGATCAGTGCTTCCAGATAATGAATATGCAGGCATACGTTATGTTCGGAGAATTGAAAACTACCACGACGCCCTTTCGTCCGAGTTGCCATTGACTCCTGCTCACCTCATTTACATAGGTATGAAACTCTTGCCATTTGCTCTCACTGTTAAGCACCCCAGGTCGCAGAGAAATTGATGTTTTTGCTACTGTTCGGGTTAACTGGCTACTCTTTCTGATTTATTTATCCACCTACATGCTCGTTCCTACCCGCATTAGTCTCTCCAGTTGCAGGGCGACCTACTCGGAGTAGTTTTTCTTTCGGCAAGTCTTACAGAAGTACTTTCTCTCGAACCGAGGGGAACTGTCGGACAGGAAAGGGCTCACTATTCCATTTGGATGGGCGCCATAAAGACGTGCATTTACCGTAAATTCCTCTTGAAGTGTATATCAAAACGTTATCAGCTCGAGATCTCAAGCATATATTGTCGTCTCCCGTTTGACCGAAGGATATGTACGACCTTATCGAGCGTTTTCTTGCATCTTATGCATATAATCAAGCATCTTTCTTCCGGTAATGGATATTGGATCCCTTCCTTCTCCATTTGCGAAAATTATGGGGGAAGATGCCATCCATGTTTTCCTCCCAAAGGATGTCATCAAATGTATCGTCCTTTTTGTCATAAATTTTCCTCGAAAGTTAGTCTTACCATGCTCGTTATCGAGTCCGTAACGTTGTAATCTTTTGTCCACACGGTTGCTGCGGTTTTGCAAGAGAGACGACGTTTGCATACGACGTTATCGCGCGTTCCTCTACACGTCGGAGATATAATCGAGTACGTCTCTTGGCAATAGATATCGACATGCATGCGTTCCTATTTACGACGGGCCCTCGCGCTCATAGGGCTCTTGTAGGTTCTTGGATGGGTCTATGGTAGAGAGACTACACCGGATGCTTTTTGCCGAGCTCAAGGCCTCGGGAAGATGTGAATGAATCTAGAACCTGTTCCTTCTGGCTCCTCTTGCACTCTTTTCAGCTTCTTTTAGAAGTCAAGTTCTCGCGAGGGCTCGCTTCCTCGGGTGCAGCTTTAGAATCCGGATGAATCGAAGCAATCCTGCGTTCCTAGAAATAAGATCGTTCTTTGTACGATGCGTTTTCAGGCGGTATTTGTACCGAACATTATCGAATGGCTACCAAGCTATAGAATTTATTTACCGACCACTCACGACCGCGTTTTGTTAGTTTTGGCTGTTACTATCGAGTAAGAACTTTGATCAACGATTTTATTTTCGATTGTTTCGTTTCTCACGGTTTCATCATTCCAAGATACAAATTATTCCTTGGGATAGTTGGTTTTTTTGACGATATCATTCCACTTGAGTTTGACATCCAACCCCTCGCGTGATATTCCATCGCGATTCACGCTCACGATCTTGGCTGAAGTTGAGTTACCACCTCTTAATAACGATCCTCGCACCGATCGTGGATTCAGTCCTCATAAATAAAATACTGCCGATCGCGTTTCTCTTGCATGAAATATCCCTTGTGTCCGATCTCAGCGATCTCTCGAGTCCCTTCCCAGTCGATCGCCCACGCATTAAACTCCAAGCGGCATCATCCAAGTACCGGGAACGATCCACTATCTCGCGATATTTGCACACATTAGTACTCATTGAAGAAAGGAGAAAATCGCTTATAAAGCAACAATAAATATGAACGAGACTTAAAATAAATATTTTGCTCGCGCCAAGAAAGCGATAAAACGTTAGGAAGCATACCCACACACATAAGTACCGGAAATAATGACTCGACATCGAGCAACACTCGTTTAATAGTTTTTTTTCTATCTGAAATACTTCCGGAGATATCGTCTCGAAAAGCAACGCACGCGTTATCCAGAAAATGTCCGTTAACTTTGATAAGGATTTCCCGATTGTAAATTATAATCAGAAGTCAACCGTAACACGGTCATTCTCGCGGGTTTCCTTCCTTCTTGGATTTAATTCAGGGTGAATTAATTATTTATTCGCCGCATGTGCGCCGTAACTGCGCGATTCAAGAGCGCCCTTGAATCGTAATTAACGGGACCGGGGAAGTACTTGTCGCATCCTTTGTAAATTTGTATTTATACCCGGTGTATTTCGGCCCGGCATTACTCTATTCTCTAATGTTCTTCGTGATCGTATCTTCTACCGCAGTCTCGCGGCAAGTAGCGAATAAATGTGGGAATAATGGGTGCTTCAATAAGTGTCGGCCATATTGGCGGACCGTCCTTTGGCAACATTTGACCCTAGTAGTCCGGCGGCGCGGCTGGCGCTCGGCCTCCCCACTCCCCTCTCCGAGTCCACGTGCGCGTCGCCGAGCGAAGCACTGGCCGAGCACTCGAGTCAGTGTCGAGAGAGAATCGCAGCGAGTCGGTCGTGCGTCCCGAGTGACCCGAAGCTAGCAAGCCGGCCCGGCGCTGGATATTGGCGTTGCCGAGACACGGACCAGTTACGGTGAAACCAGGGTCAACGCGAGAGACGGAGACGCGACTTTGCGCACGGTCCCCTCGAGAGAGAGAAAGGTTAGGGCGCCACGCGGTTGATTATTGACGGAGTATCGGTACTTCTTTTCGCGGCTGAAATGTGTTCGTTTTGCGGACTCTTGTGAGCGAACTGGAGCATGCGAACTGCTGAGGCGACATAGCGAACAGGTGAGTGACTCCGAGGTTTTTACCGGTATTTACTTAAGGGTCTTTTTACTCTCGATCGTTGAGCCGATTCGTCGCGGAGGCCTTGCCGGCGTGCATGAATGGACCACTGTCGTGCCGGGCTGACCCAGTATTTCGTAAGACGACCCGTTACCGGTGGATATCTTGAAGGATAAGTCCACGTGGTCCCAAGATAACGCTCAATTAATTTTTAGATATTTTAAGCGCCGAGATATTAGGGCCTTGACGTTGCATCGACGTCGGTCGGTGGGTTGCCTCTTTGTTGGGAAACGCAGAAATCGCCGCATGTGGCGGGCGATGTGTTAATTATGTAGATAGTGTAGAGACTCCGAGCTCGTTAATAATTCTAAAGTTAAGAAAACTCGGACCGCTCTCCTCCACACTTATTCCTACTGTACACCTCGGAAGGTCGTGGAACAACGTCTGGTTGCTTAACCCCTCCTTATGAATAATGCATTTATTTTTAAATCACCTATATATGCATATATAACGGCATAACGTATTCACAGTAGGAAGCCAAGGAACCTTTGATTCTACAGGCGTCTTTACCTCTTTCGGACAATGTAACATTTTTTATTTAATTATTACTTGTGAGCTTCGCGAAGGCAAATTAGAACGTACGTTTTTCATATTTCTGTTGCACGTACTTGATTTATATATGGAAACGTTAATTAATGAAGGCAATTGATGTACTTAAAAATGTACGTACATTTAAAAAATGTTTCAGTATTATGTATTTTGTGTTAAATATGTTTAATTATTGAAAAGTATCGGTTACATCTTTTCACAATATTCATGTACAAACATGTTTTCCTCTAAAGGCTGCGATACTCGCGAATTTCCTAAGAGAATAGAATTTCACGGTCCATTGACAGTAGACAGATATGTCGGATAATTCTTGAGTTCAATGTGATCGGTTCGATGAACTATAGAGGCGATTTAATAACGGGTAAATTGAATATCGTGTTATTATGAGAAATGCACGTTTAATAGATCCAGCTTTTCAATTTCTATTGATCGGAAAATGATGGCCACTATCTCCTGTCTGATCCGATAATTCTGATAAAACTTTAGAACTTTTAATCTTAGTTTTTGGGCCCATGTAGTCAGAAAGGCTTAGGACTTCAGGGATTCTTTAAATCCTGGCAGCTTATGTATTTACGTCCCGTGAACTCGTGGTTTAAGACAAAGTTTTCACTACCGACAAAATCTTTCAGCTCAATAGTTTGAAAAGATATTTAATGTATTTGCATTAACTGTCAGTTCAACGAAATCACTTTACAAAGGATGAAAATCTTGATTCTAATTCATGTTAATGGTACGCTTAAGGTCATACCTCAGAAATGGTTTTAAGCCCTAGAGTATTTAGATAAAACTTAACCGGCGAGCTCATTAGCATAAGTGCTTAGGTGTAACTTCAGAAATAAGAAGACAAATTGCAATTTAATTGTCTAAATATTTAGAGCGGATGAATGGACAGTTTTTTTGATTCGTAATTTGCGTCAGTAGTAAACAATATTTTAATGGTAATGTAGTATTATTTATTGGGACTTAGAGATAATGGAATACACTTATTTTATTCGCAGGTACGGATTTAAGGGGAATCAATCACGACCTCGTACGAATGCATGGATTTAAAAGGGGCAAAGAATTATTCTATTGAACGCGTGTCGGTTTCAGGGGACTTTAGTCGCTACTTAAAGGGTTAAGGAAAGCACGACCGACGAGGAAGTTCTTTTTCACTCGCCTGTGGTCCTTCGTAAATCCCCCGGTTTAACGACGCAACAAATCCGACCTCGCGCCGCATAATGTTAGCGGACGTTCGCCCGAGGTGCCCACTTTTTTCGTGAGTCACACCATGCAAATAAGGGGATGGGGTGCAAACCTTTATGCACCGATTTTTACCGATCGCGGTTAAGAGAAGCCTTCTGTAAGCCCGTGATTTGCTCCGCCTCCCGGATCTCGTATTCATAAGATAATTTCGTATTTAACTTATTTCGCTCGAAAAAAAATTCGGCATAATTTGTCGAAGGGGAACAGGCTGATTAACGTGGGAATGGTTGCTCATTTTCTGGGCCTCAAGGGTTATTTTAATGACGGTCTTCCGGGCATCGTAAGCCTTTCTATTTGAACTTTTGAAAACTTTCCTTTTCCTTTGTCCGAGCTGCGATCGGTAGTGGTGGTCTTAACCTGGAAAATCGTTCAAATAAAGATTGAAGCCTAACCATGAGGTCGCGTTCCTGGGCTGTGAAAGCTGGGTCAATGCGAACCTTACAAGAATATACCCCTCGAAGGTCAGTTCTGTTTGGACTTTCCGAGGGTTGATCTTGCATATAGACCGGATTAGATGAAGCTATGGTCGCACGGTTAGGTCGAAAGAATGTCGAGAAGAACATGTTTACTAACCTGGTTATCTTGAGTAGTCTCGTATAAATGCCAAAATATGATAAATGTGTGAGATGGTATATCGAGATCAATTTCGTTTCCGGTACTTCGCTGTCTTTTACCTCTTAACCCTTTTAGTGCCGGAGGCCGATATATTGGCCCTCGCTGTACTGGCGAAAAGTGCCAGAGCCGATATATCGGCCCGCACCTTGTAATTTTGTTTATGTAATTTTCAATGAATATAGAAAAATTAGCGTCACTGTTTTATTCTCTATTTTGTCCTTAATACACCGCTTTCTGAATTATGTAAATATTGCTTTTCGTTTGGTTTTTACGAGCCTTTTTTCAAATCCTAGTAAAATCGTAAAATTCGGCCGGTTATCTTTGCATAAGCACCTTTTTCGCCCGGCACTAAAAGGGTTAAGGGGATGTAAAAGTAAAATCCAGGGGGTCGATCGTTCATGAAACTTTTCGCTGAACTGGGTGTAGCGAATCGTTTCCAATTTTACAACGTGAATATGGAGTCTATAAAGAAGATCCTGACACTCGTACAATTTTATTTCTTCTGCATAACGTTAAAAATATCTATAAACAAATTTAAAAAAAGATTGAAATCTCATGAGTGTCAGGACTTTCCTTATAGTCTCCATATTGACATTGTAAAGTTTAAAACGATTGGATAAACCCGGTTCGGAGAAAAGTTTCGTAAACAAAATCTCTTCAACGCCACTTTCACATCACCTTAAACGGCCTACACACAATGGTTCGTGATTCTCGATTTCTAGTGCGTCGATTCGCGTTAATTTATCAATACGACCAATGATACGCTTCATCGAGTCTTTATGCTTTCCTCAATTTTCACATCGTTTCCTGAGATCGGATTTCATTGGAACTGTGGTAATAAAACATGAAGTTAACAATACCACCTGAAATCTGTTTAAATAATTAATATATAGGAATTTAAAACATCAAAGAAATATGAAAGATATGTAAACGAAAAAGATATAAATGGATCCGAAGTAAAAGAAGGTTAATTGGATCGAATTGGAGGCAAATCTGTGACGATCACTCGTACGCATTGTACGACCCTGCTTAGATGCGACAAAGATCTCCTTTAAGGGGTTACACCACTTTGACCCACCCAAAGATTACGGTTTTTCAAGAATTTTTTTTTTAAGAATTAAAACGTTTTTATCCAAATTAAAGTACAGTAAGGTATTATACTACTATTAAACAACAAAATATTTTTTTTGTATTTCTTTTATTTACAAAAATGGCGGCTTGAAAGGCGATTTACCGAAGCGCTGCGAAAATCGATGATCATGCGGTGGGCACGATAACTCAGTCCAGGTTTAAGCTAGATCAATGAACCAAAAAGAATTAATTTCTGTAGCCCAAAAGCTAGCGAAATACGTAGCCGTTTTCAAAAATATGCATTTTGCACAAAATGGCATCAATTTAAAAGAAAAGATACGTATTTTGCCCTAAATTTCGTTAATTAATGTTGCATAAAAAATGCGAATATTAATGCATTGAAAAAACCATGCGTATTTTGCTAGATAAACATATCACGAGTAAAATAAAAAAAGAATCAAGACGATTGATTGAAAATTGGCGGAGCTAGAGTGCTCACCGATTTTTAAAATGTAGTTTAAATAAGAAAACGCGTTTAAGGTATAAACGCGTAAAAATTTTTTTGATTTCTCGAAAATTTCAGTGTTATAACCCCTGAAGCGTGTAAAGTTTTTCGTCGGCGATATACCCCGCACTGATGCAGACGTACCAAATCGAACGCATTGTTGCATACGCATCATTTGCACACGGACGTGCCACAAATGGCGAACCGTGCTTGCAGTAGAGAGCTTTTTCACACCGAGAAACATTGTAGAGTTTCGCGTCAAATACATGTATAAGCGGTATAAGTTCATTTTATATTCTTCAAGAATCTATTTTTCCTGCCGAAGGGCAGGTAGAGGCGTCGGCAGATATTGTCTTTGCATTTTCCGCCAGATTGTGAACGGTAGAAGGGATTGACCGGTACTCCTCGGCCCTAGGTCTTCTTAGGCCCAAAAGCGTACTACCTGGAAGTGTTCGCACGATCGGCTTACCTGAAGCCATAATTTCATTCCCTCGGCCAAGTACGGGCGGACACCTACCGTAGGTCGGCGGTGCCCACGGCCACGACTTACGCCCGCGTGTACAATATCGCAATAAACTTGTAGGTTTCCAAACCCAGGTCCTTCGTCCCTCGCATGGAAGTGCATTGTCGTCGGGTTTATACGGGATGGAGGGAGCGGAGGGGGGGTTCGTCCCGAGGAAAGGCGAGGAAGAAAAATTTTCCGGGTTCTAACCGTAGAGTCGCTTTACGACAGATAACGGTAACTCGAAAACGAATGCATTCAAAATGCAAAACGAATGCCGAATTTATCGATCTCGATTGGACCTCTATCGTGTAGAAACAAAGATTTAATTTGTTTGAGAAAACGTTTCGATTGAGTGAATTAAGTGGTAGATCACTTATTCGAACTCGTTCTCTTCGATCAGGTAAAGTGTTTTGATTAAATCGTTTTGTTAGATTTAGAAAATATTTTAGTCGA